GTAGATTCTTTGAATTTATTGAAAAGGAAAGTAGAAATTTTATTATTCTTATTGTTATTTATTCTTTATTATAGACGATACTAGATTACCACCTATTTGTATTTTTAAAGGAAAACGGATGCCGCGAGGAGAACAAGTTTCACCTGAAATAGTAGTTTGGTTTCAAGAAAATGGATGGATAAATGCTGATTTGATGAAAAGGTATGTAAACTATCTTAATAATTCAAGAACTAATGATACTTCAGCAATGTTAATATATGATTCATTTAGGGGTTATTTAGAAGAATCCGTTAAAATTAAGTTTCGTGAAAGTGGATATAATTTAGCTGTAATTCCAGGTGGATTGACTAGCATTTGCCAACCACTTGATGTTATGATTAATAAACCATTTAAAGAAAATTTACGAAAAGAATGGTATAATTGGATGGCTAGAGGTGATGCTAGAATAACTGCTGCAAGAAACCTCTGTCAGGTAAGATTGAGTAATGTTTGCATGTGAATCAAGCATTCTTGAAAAGCAATTTTGAATGAAATTATTATTAAATCATTTAAAACATGTAAAATATTAAATTGTTTAGATGAATCAGATGAAAGTGCAGATGAGATTGATGATAAAAGTGCAAATGAGATTAAAAATGAAAATTTAGATATTATAGATGTCGATAGCAGTAATATTGATAAAGGTAATAATAGCATTGTAATAGTAGTAATGGTGATGACAATCATTAAAATAATGTAAGAAATATTAATGGCAATGAATTCTTTTAAATAAAAAAATAAAAAGCATTTGAATTTTAAATAAATAAGTCATTTTAGCATTTAGGTACTTAAAAAATTTAATAGTGCTTATTTTTGAATACTAAAAAAAATGATAGTGCTTATTTTCGGAAAGTGCCTATTTTTGGAGAAATACGATAGTTGTTAGAGATACATATTGGCTTGACATGTTAAAATGGTTACAGAATCCTGAATATTATAGTATTCATAAAAAATATAATTATGAATTCTTCATCAGAATTTCAGAATATGAGGCATATAAGAGTAAATCATCAGGAATAGTAAAACCTATATGTGATTCGCTATTAAAATACATATATCATATTTATGAAAAAAATATTATCGTAAATTTCTCAGATCTGGATAATAATTATGAGTTTGTACGTCAAATTTTCCAGATCAGTCCTTGATCCAGATCTCGAATAATACTGTATCTTAATAAAATACAGCTGTATACATACGTGATACAATAAACATATTTTGCAATCTTTGTTAAAGTGTATATGATGTAATAGGTGATACTTTGTAAATAATCTGTAACTCTGTGTGAACTGTTTGTGTGATAAAATAATTTTCACACAAGAAATTGACCCCAAGAATATTTCGAATTTTTTCCTATCTATCTGAATAGCATTTATTTATGAGTTTATTTTCTCTGATGCTAGAGGCTATTCCTACTAGATTTCAACCTGAGTATATTTATATAATGTTACTAAGCCTTTATTACTAAACGGTTGGGCAAGTGAAATAAAGAAAAAGTATGTATATGCATTATCTTCAGCGTCTTTGAAAATGTCAAAATCTTCAATGCACATTCCACATGCCCTTATTTTCTAATACAAAATTTTTATCGTAAAGTCTGTTGCATATTCTTCTGTTCTTTTCCTACCATGAATGTGAATAAAGAAATTTAAAACAGCTAGGTAGTATATTAAAGTTGAGTATTTTTATACCTTGTAAATTCTTTTTAACTATGCCTACTGACTTATATACTAAAATTTACAATTTCTTGTTAAACGTTGAGGAAGAGAACATTACTGCTGGGTCTGTTATCTATCAAGGGATTGAAGACAATTCATGGATATCTCAAAATAAGCTAAAAAGTATTATCGAGCAGACTGTAACATTTGTGAAGAATCAATATAAACGAGGCTTCTCATATCATACTACTCTTCTCAAAGTTCTATTAAAGGTAAGATATCAAGCTTTGAGTTACTGGTGATTAAAATTTATATGAATGATAAATAATGCAAACAGTGATACCATTTTGAGGGAGAGAACATAATAGACTAAATATCCTATTAGCCTACTCACAGGATTCTTTCCTCAACAGTGTAGAGGGTAGTTAGGCTATAGGTATATGCTTAATTCAATATGGTTATTTTAGTGTTACATAAAGTCTTTATTTGAGTATTAGAGTAGCTAACCATGTGAGAATAGAACTTTATTTTAATCTAACAGCGCATACATTTTTGATAATTTTTTTAATATATATATTCAGGCTAATTAATTGTATATCTGCATTAGTTTGAAATTAGCTTTAAAATAGTCTGTAGTTTAAGTAATATCAGTGCAATAAAAATGAATAGGAAAAGGTTTCTAAATTCAAATAAAATTGAAAAAAATATTAAGGCACTGAAGGGTAAACTCAGAAAAGATACCTCACAGCTTTACCAGCATTTATTTTTAGGTATAAATGCAGTATCTATTTCTAAGTTGACTTAGAAAGATTCTCTAGCCAACCAAGTAATTAGCGATAATTCAAATCTGGTACAGACATTACCAGAACAATTGAGAGAATCTTTTATGATAAATTCTTTTTTCATATATAGTCATATGTTTTTTCTTAACAAAATTTAGACGACCTGAGATCATTAAAATCACGTGAATTTTAATTTATTGTTATGTTATCTTTAGAAACTGGTAGAGAATATGGTTCCTTCATCTCTTTTAGGAATTATATGGGAAAATGCGAAGAATTTGTAGTTAACTTTACTGAGAGTAATATGAGCATTTTATCACAAAACTTTCGCATAATAGGAAATGAAAAGAATAAGATGAAGAGCTTGCAGATGTCACATCAAGAATTTTAGGTTCTCTAAATGATTCATGAAATAATCCTGCTTTTAGCTCTGAGTTTACAAAATCACAAAATGAAGGTACTTATGTGACTAATGTAATAGTTCCTTTTATTCAGGTCACATTAAAAGATCTTCTTTTAGGAAGATCATCTTATGTTAGCAGGTAAGTGGTATTTCAAAACCTTTAGACTAATATTAATATTCTTTTAGTGCTGAACAATAAAGTTTGGCTAGTGTGAATAGGAAAGGCAAAGAGCAGACAGAAAGATGGTCAGATATCATATTTATAATAAAGCATGATAGAATAAAATACAAGCTCATATATGTTGAAAATTCATGCATGTCTTGCACACTGCAGAAGAAAAAGGATGATAAAATAAAGTTATGATGTGGAACCAATGATGGAATATATTAGATGCATAAATCATTTGGGCTGGATAAAGATAAATTTGGAATTATTAGAATACAAGTTACCAGATGAATAATACGCTTAAATGTTTTTATCAGAGATGTAGGAAATGTGTATTGTTATTATCATCTTTACAAAGCAGAAATCTCTATACAACAATCAGATCTGTCTATTGTAACAAATTATATAAAGACTGCTAATTCTGCGAAACATTTTGATAGTTAATATGTCTTTATTATTTAACGCGCTCTCAGTTAAATTTAAAAGAAATAAAGATAGCTCAAATGTAGATTCTGAATAGATAGAACTATATATGTAATATCATTCTTTTCCTATATTAATAAAGTGGCACTAGCAGTCAATTTCATATATAAATTCATATTTTTTGTATGGGTGGCATGTATCAGATAATAAAATTTTCTTAGCAAATTTGCGAGACCATACGGCATGGTCTTAGAAAACATGTAATTTTTTATTTTTGAATATTAACTACATTACGCAAGCATACAATCTGAAATAGATTGTCCTGGTGAGACTGATTCGTTAAAATAATATATTAGCGAGCTTAAGACTGAGAACAATAAAATTAAGGCTGAAAATGCTTAGCTTAAGGCTAAAGTTGTGAAATTGGAAAATAAGCAATTGCAAAACGTATTAATAAAAATCTATTATCTATATCACGAAAGACATAATCATGTATTAATTTGGCGAAATTTCTTCAGCATCAGAATACCCTGCCAAATAATTTTTTCTCGTTGACTATTGGCCAGGTGTCATGTGCATTTTTGATCAGAGTTTTCTAGCAGATCTCTTGTGATATTGACACATATGACTATATTCTTATAAAATTTTTGAATATGTAAAATTCTCAAAATTTTTCTTATAAAATTTCTGAATCTATAAAATTCTCAAAAGTTTTTTTATTAGTTACCTGTGATAATAATAATTGATATACTAACACCATCTTTTCACATATATTACTTAAACAACTTAACCAGCTTTTTCATTCTATCAAAATAGATATATGGGGCCTTTGCAATAGAAAGGGAGGAAACTCCAAAAAAATTAAAATTTTAGTTTATAAGCCAAAAATATTTCAAATACTATAATTTGTTCAGATTTATTATTAACTCATTTTTTATTTTTTTTTGAGTTTCCTCCCTTTCTATTGCAAAGGCCCCATATGATAACGTCTTACATTATGAAAACATCCATTATCGCTAGACAGACAAGTAGTATCTATTTTGAAGTAGAAGATTTGTTAAATAAGGCGATTGAAAATTATATTAAGCAAAAAGAGCATTTGAAGATAAAGCTTATTACTAACAACTGTGAAACTTCGTTAAGGCAAAAAAATGAGAAATTGTGTATATCAAAGCAGATATTGAAAAAAAAGATTGAAGAGCTTCTTGACTTGCAAGAGCAATATAAATCTCGTGAGGTAGCTATAACCAGATTTTTAGAGAAAAGTGATAGAAAAGTCACCCAATTATCAGATTCAGTAGTTTTCTTCAAAAGTATAATTCCTAATATAAAAAAAGCTATTGCGTCTGCCGAAAAATCTATTGATATATTAAAGAATAAATACTAGAATCTGAAGAATATTATTTCCGTTAAGAATAAGAAAATTATCGCTCTAATTGATCAGATCCTTTCTAAAACAGAGCATAATAATGTGATTATAGAACTGAAAATATATTCTAGCACTCATGAAAGGAAATTATGAGTGAAGAGGCATAGTGAATCTGAACATTATCTAGAAACCAGGAAAAAAATATACATTTCATCTTTAGTATCTAAGAAAATTCTACTCATTAGTAAGAGGTATATCCCAGCTGATGTGTATCCTGTGTGGATACTCGTGAGGTACAATTAGATCAAAAATAATAAATTTTTACTCACATAAATGCTTGTCAATAATTTTAATTACACTATACCAGTCATTACAATCAGGGATTTTATCAAAAATGAACATTGATTCTAGAATGATCTGTGGTAAATCCTTAGATTTTGATTGAACCATATCTATTCTCTTCAACTGAAATTTGTGGCTTTTCATAATGTCGATTCATAACTAATAATCATATGTATAGAGAGTAAAAAACCTCTAGTTTCATAATCATTCAAGTTCTATTCATAATCAACTCCTTTTGAAAAAGTAAATGAGATCTGAATTTTTGTTAAATTTGTATTAAATTGATTTTATTAAGTTAATATATTGATTTTATTTTTCTTCTAAAATTTTAGCATACTAGAATTCAAAAAACAATGTCATAGCCTTTACTGCCTAAAAAGAAACTAAGAGCCAAAGATCTTCCCTGTATATTTTTCAAATTAGTTAGTAATTATAGTAGACTGAGCTTGAAATCTTGTGAGATGAAGGAGTCACAAGTTTGAAGACATTGTCACCGTGGAATTCTTCAACTCAAAGTGATCACGTTATCAAGTCTCTACTCGAAATTTCTAACTGCG